GGATTGTGTTTATTTATCATTTTATAGTCTGTAGCATGCTGGCTCCCATGATGAATTTGTTTGGGGTCCATTAAGTTTAAGGGATACTGATTATTTGAGATGGAATTGTTCTCAAGAAGTTAGCCATTGGGGTACCTGGCTGGCTCAGTTGGTGGAGCATGTGACGCTTGATCTCAGGGTCGTGACTTCAAGCCCCACGTTGGGCATAGAGATTACTTAAAAAAAATTTTTTTAAAAAGGTAGTCATAGGAAACTGGAGCTCAGGAGAACGCATAAGGCTAAGAAATGTAGATTTTGTAATTGTACACATAAGTGTTACTGTTTATATTTTCTTCTTCCTGAGTCTTACTTTTCCTGAACCACTTATACCAAAGGAAGACCTAAAGTTATTGGTGACTCTTCACTACAATTTCTTCTCCCTCCAACTAGAGCCTCAGATACCAATTGGTGGACAGCTCTGAGTACCGGAGAGCAAAAGGGAAGCACCATGTCCCATTCACCTTATTCCATAGCAGCCTTACTTTATCTTTTAAGATCCTGCTTTTTGGGTTTGTGTTTTGTTTTTTACTACTTTTTTTATTATGGTAAAATATAACATAAAATTTGCCACTTTAACCATTTTTAAGTACAATTCAGTGGCACTAATTACAGTCACACTGTTACTCAACTACCATCATTATTTATTTCCAGAATTTTTCATCATCCCAAACAGAAACTCTGTACTCATTAAGCAGTAACTTTCCATCCCCTCTTCCCCAGCCCCTGATAACCTCTAACCTACTTTTTGTCTCTGTGGATTTGCCTCTTGTAGTTTTTTCATGTAATACAATATTTGTCCTTTCGTATCTGGCTTACTTCACCTAGCATAATGTTTTCAAGGTTCATCCACATTTTAGCATGTATCAGAACTTCACTCCTTTTATAGCCAAATAATATTCCATTGTTTGGATAATACCACATATATCCATTCATCTGTTGGTGAACATTTTCTGATTTTGAAATAGCTTCCCCCCTCCAATATGAAAATATATTATCATTGTAGAAAATTACAGGTATATAGAAAATACGAAGAATGTTAACATTCAATCATAATCCCACTACCCAGAAGGGACTACTATTAGTTTTACATTTCTTTCCCATCTTTATATGCATATATTTTTAACATATTTGAGACTACAGCTGGAAGCACAATTTGGAATCTTTTTTTCCCAAGTAGCATTATATCATAAAAATTGTTTCGTATCATTAAAAACTCTTCTTAATCATCACTGTAGATGTCTACATATATTCAGTAAATGGATATACCACAATTTAGTATTTCTTAATTTATAGTACATTAAATGCTTTCATAATAAGAGAACCATATGTTGGACTTCAATATACATAATATGTATCTTCATCTCTGATTTCCTTCAGAGAGAGTCTTGGAAATATAGTTACTGGCTGAACAAGCATGAACATTTTAGAATTCTTCATCCATGTTGCCAAATTGCTTTTCAAAAAGGTTATGCCATCTTACTCTATAGCATAGCTGTGGAGAATCACATCTCATCAGACTCTTGCCACCAGAACATAAGAGAAAATGATCCTAGCTTATCATACAGTTTAATGACAGCTGTTAGCTTTAGCTCATATCAACAATAGTAGATTATGCTTCATATTACGCTTTAGAAATAAGGAGGTGCTGAGCTTAGAAGCATTGAATGTGAAAGATACTGATTTATGAGAGTGCACCCCAAGCCCATAATCTTCAAACTCGTATATCCCTTAGCCTCACAAAACCCCACACTTGTGTGTCCTCTTCTTAAAATGTTTACTATTTCACCTTATTAAGATATAGGAGGAAGGCAATAAAAGGTGAAGTACCTGATAAACATTTAAATGCTACTACAGGGGCAGCTGGCTGGCTCAGTCAGTAAAGCATGCGACTCTTGATCTCTGGGTCCTGAGTTTGAGCCCCATGTTGTATGTGGCAATGACTTGAAATTAAAATCTTTAAAATAAATACATAAATGCTACTACATACAGGAAGGAGTAGCAGAAAAACTTGATTTTTAAGACAATTGTCAATTCTTAGAAGTGCAACTACCTGACCTAGTGGGGACTTGGATAAAAAAAAAAAAAAGGAAGAATTTAAGCTTCCTTTCTGAACTGTGAGGGCAATTGTCAGCAAGAGATGTAGAGTCAAGTATAACTTTGTGAGCCTCCTAGAACCATAACAATTTACTGCTGTGTAGGAATAAAGCAAGCATCAAATTTACCAGCTAGAAGGGTTGCTGTGATTAATATATGTGCCCTACTCAGAGGTGAGCAAAGGTAGGGGTTGTTAAGATTTTGATAGCAGCATAATGGGGCCACTCAGCAGTTGCTAGGAATTACTTAAAATTCCCCTGAATTCTGTCAGGCATTCAGGCTGATTCTGAAAAGTCAGAACAATAGGAAAAGTCCAGCCAAAGATGCAGCTCAGCGGGTTCTGGGCATTTTCATCAAGACCACTACTGGAGTTATTTCTAAAACTTGAGATGACCCCTCATCTAGCATTTGGGGAGTTTAATTCTGACAGTATCCAAGATTTGAAATTGTATTGGAGGTGTCCATTCATTTGGCAAATGTGAGTGACTATTATGTATTGGACACTTAGGGGCATACTATGTCTAGTAAGGCATGGTCTCTGATGGCAAGATGTTTACCTTCTAGTAAGGTCAAAGACTTGCAAACACAATTATCGTACAAGACAATTCCATATAATTGCAATACCCATGAAGTACAGAAAGTGCATAAACAACCTTAAATTTTCACAAAGAAGCATCTGACTCAAGTCTTGGATAAATGAGAATTTGCAAGGTGGAGAAGCATAAAACGGTTCTAAACAGTAAAAACAGCATATGTAAATGTACTAGGCATGAGAGACCATTTTTTAATAACTACAAGACACATCAGTACTGTCCAAGCACCACCCGGTGCCTGGGTGGCTCAGTCAGTTAAGCGTTTGACTTCAGCTCTGGCTCCAGTTGTAATCTCACTGTGAGTTCCAGCCCTGCGTTGGGCTCTCTGCTGTCAGCACGGAGCCTGCTTCAGATCCTCTGTCCCACTCCCCATCCCCCCCCCCTTGCACCTCCCCTGCTCGCTCGTATGCTCTCTCTCTCTCAAAAATAAATAAACAAAAAAAAGAAAATTCTACTTCCTCCATAGCTCAAGTAGCATCCTTTACCTTAAACTACCTGTTAAAGTGGAAAAAACATTTTGACATAAGGGGTTGTTTGATTGAAAAGGGACCTGAGTGCTGGCACAGTAGCTAATTTAATAGTCTTTGTTTCCTTGTCTGCTCCTTATTTTTGTACTGTATATAGACTATGTATGACTTATTCTGACTAAGCAGTGGTAACTGGAAAAGGTGAAGTCTCCTTATGAAATATGTACAATTTGTATTGTGAATTTAACAAGGTCCTTAATCCCTTCTTTTGCTTCTAAAAGGGTAGGGGAAGTGTCTGATCTTGCTCAACCCAACAATTCATCCTTTGATAGTTTCTAATAGCTTGAGTCTAGAAGCCTTATATAATCATGTTATTTGCTCAGTAGAGAGGAAGGAATGGTAGATAGAAATAAAATATTTTGGCCTTCTTTAACTTAAAGTACTTCATTTTCTATTCTAAAATTAACTAAACTTGGGGCGCCTGGGTGGCTCAGTCGGTTAAGCATCCGACTTCAGCTCAGGTCATGATCTCACAGTCTGTGAGTTTGAGCCCCGCATCAGGCTCTTTGCTGACAGCTCAGAGCCTGGAGCCTGCTTCAGATTCTGTGTCTCCCTCTCTCTCTGCCCCTCCCCTGTTCATGCTCGGTCTCTCTCTGTCTCAAAAATAAATGAAAACATTAAAAAAATTAAATTAACTAAATTCTTCACCCCTTTCTGGACCTTTCTCTTCATGAAGCTACATCTTTTGTGCAACCCCATTTAAAACAACCATTTATAAATTTATTTCTGTTTTACAGTCTGAGATGGAATTCATCCTGCTTTTCACACTAAACTCAGCATATTTTAAACTACTAAGATATGACTTAATATTTAGCCTTTGATAAAGAAGCTTGAACAGAAGAAAAATCATTTTTTTTTTTTTTGGCCCTGTGTTAGCTTTTTGTTTTGTAGCTAGCAAGATATATATTATCCATATATCTGTGTCAGTTTTCTTTTACATTCTCCACTTAGCCTATATTCTGAGATAAATAATTGCTGGCAAGCTTTCTTGGGGCCAAAGAATTGAATTCTTAAAGGCAAATAAACAATTTTAAGAATGAGAATGACACATCCAGAGGGAGAGAGGCCAACCAAGAAACAGACTTTTAACTATAGAGAGCAAACTGATAGTTACTAGAGAGGTGCATGGGGGAATGGGTTAAATAGTTGATGGGGATTAAGGAGGGCACTTGCTATGATGGACACCAGGTGATGTATGTAAATGTTAAATCACTATGTTGTACACCTGAAACTAATATAACTATGTTAACTTGAATTAAAATAAAGTGAAAACTTTAAAAATTTTTTTTAAAAATAAAAGAATGACATCGTAGGAAGGAAACTAAACAAAGTTGGGAACCCAGGTTCAAGTTCTAGGTTTGCATGTAACTATTTATCCTTGAATATTTGCTTAGCCAAGAGCTCTTGCCTTTAGTATTTATTTCTCTCACGAGATTTGAACTAGAAAACCTCTTAAGTTCAACAAATATATGGCATGACTTTTGGAACAATATTGATTTCAAAATCTCTTATGACTTTAACATCTGTAAATAAAAAATATCTCATATGCTAATATTTCAGACTTTTCAGTCCTGGAAATATTGTAGAAATCCTTTATTAAAATTATGTGATTTAGGGGCGCCTGGGTGGCGCAGTCGGTTGAGCGTCCGACTTCGGCCAGGTCGCGGTCTCGCGGTCCGGGAGTTCGAGCCCCGCGTCGGGCTCTGGGCTGATGGCTCGGAGCCTGGAGCCTGTTTCCGATTCTGTGTCTCCCCCTCTCTCTGCCCCTCCCCCGTTCATGCTCTGTCTCTCTCTGTCCCAAAAATAGATAAACTTTGAAAAAAAAATTAAAAAAAAATAATAATAAAATAAAATAAAATTATGTGATTTGGTCTTGATTTGGAAAATGGAGTCCTACCATATCTTTATTCATTTCCCAACTAGAATTATGTGATTCTAGGATAGATACAGAACAACATCCCATTTCATATCCACTATGCCACCTCCTTCTCAAGCCGTTCCTCTTCCAAATTTTCAGCCACTTTAACATTAAAAACTTTTCTACCTAAACTTATACCTTCAGAACTATATAATTTTATCTTTTTCTAAAGTCAGTACAAATTATTTTTAACTCATAATGGTATTTGTTCAGAACAGTTGGATTGAATGCTTACTGTGTGTAATATGCATAATGGAACCTTAAGTACAATACTGATACTGGGAAAGATAAAGAATTCAAATAGTAATTTTTGTCAGAGAAAATTTGGGAAATTATTTGTGGAGCTTAGTTATAATTTTCCAGGGGATATGCCTTTATTTTCTCTGTGTTCCAGGTCTTTCCTGAAATTTAGAAGCCCCTTTGTTCCCCTTCCTTTCTGATGCTATCAGTGGTGATGATCACCTTTGAGGAAGAAAAGCCCACTTCCACTGACCATGGAGAATACACAGCATCTCTGCTTGATTGTGACAAGGGTAGTTTTTGGATGGGTCATGAAATGCTTCTAAACTAGCCAAGAGTTAACTCTCCTAGCCTTTTTATATAATAAGCATGTTACCACCAAGGTAACTTATCCAAGTGGAATCAACTACATAGTGGAATCACATTATTTACACTTTTAACTTATACAAATTTAACACCACTAAAACACAAATAAGAAAGTACATGAGTGAGAGAGAAAAATAATATTTTAAATAGCACATGTTTAACCTTCCTTTTCAGCAAGTCCCAGGCAATGGATAAAATCAAATCTGAAACAGTTGATTCATGTTGGTGAAAGCTACCGAAAGAACGTGAGGATGTTTTTAAAGGTTTCCTGGTAGGGGCGCCTGGGTGGCGCAGTCGGTTAAGCGTCCGACTTCAGCCAGGTCACGATCTCACCGTCCGTGAGTTCGAGCCCCGCATCGGGCTCTGGGCTGATGGCTCAGAGCCTGGAGCCTGTTTCCGATTCTGTGTCTCCGTCTCTCTCTGCCCCTCCCCCGTTCATGCTCTGTCTCTCTCTGTCCCAAAAATAAATAAAACGTTGAAAAAAAAAATTTTTTTTTAAATAAATAAATAAATAAATAAAGATTTCCTGGTAATTGATAAAGCATGTTCAGGTGGCCAGGCAAGTTTGGAGAGCTTCTTTGACATTTACAAGGGTTATTAAAGGTTGTTGAGAAGCTACATTTAGGAGTTAGAGGAACTGACAAAATCCTTTTCACAGAATGACATGGTGAGAACAAGTTGAAATTTTTGTAAATTTATTAAGTGTTCAAAGGAGTGAAACACCTGATTAAATTTCTGATGCTCTTTATGGATCTTCCGTGGTTATTTTTATCATATTACAACCTGTTGCCTAAGTAAGATGCTACCCCACCAAATGGTATCTGTACCAATTTAGTTTGATAGTGTAAATTGATTAAGATACTGGGTAATTTCATTAACAAGGCAGTTCTTGGCTGATAACTTCCATTATTTTTAAAATATGGTCATAAACTTCTTTTTCATAGTAGAAGTCTTTGAATTTAAAATCTAGATTCTATAATAAAATGTAATCTGTGCCACCTACACCATTTTACTTTGTCATTAGGGTCTTTTTCCACCCATATCTACTGCTTACTACCTTGGGATTGTTAAAAAAAAAAACAAAAAACAAATGTAATTGGCTAAATCGTTATTTAAACAGATACTGTTTTAGTTGTACCAACTATGTGATGTACATTTTGCTTCTGTGATCATACAGGTGAACATGATTAAAGATGATGGGACAGTTATCCATTTCAACAATCCCAAAGTCCAAGCTTCCCTTTCTGCTAACACCTTTGCAATTACTGGTCATGCAGAAGCCAAACCAATCACAGAAATGCTTCCTGGAATATTAAGTCAGCTTGGTGCTGACAGCTTAACAAGTCTTAGGAAGTTAGCTGAACAGTTCCCTCGGCAAGGTAGGTATTTCAATTTAGTGTCTTTCCTTCTCCACCTCTGTTTAAAGAACCTAATGATTTAAAAGGTGTTCCATTTTATACTGGAAGGATTTGCTTGCATGTAAATTTTACTTTTAAAAATGTTGCTTTGCTTATATGCTTCATAATTTTTTGAGTTTGTTTCTTTAATAATTATGCAGTGTAGCATACTGAATATTCAGATACATTTCGGTAGTAATACAGATATGAGAGGTAATTACCTAAAAGGAAGGTGCCAGGATCTGCAGACCACATTTTATGGACCATATTTACTATTCACTTCTGACTAATGACAAGAAGATACTGTTATTACAGAACTATATTTTTGTTTAATATTGTTGATTGTACTATAGGTGCAGCAACCATAAGTTCTGAATTTCCAAGATAGTCCTGGTTTCAAATGTGTCTTCTCACCCCTAAAAATCAAAGAGCCTGTTATTTCAGTAACTAGATACTTTCTTACACCGAAAGAGATGGAAAAGGTCTTGAATATCGACTTTTGACTTGGAGCATATGGAATTTAAAGAATAAATTAACTGTAATGTGTTTTTATTCCAACTCATCCTGAATTATTTCATTTTTCATATAAATTTTACCTTCACTACCCATTGAAATTGCCAGCTATATTTAGTATATGCCTAATGAAGTTAAAGTTTTATTGATTTTACTATTAAGTAAAAAATATGGTATTCGATCAGACAATCTTTAGCTTTTTCCAAACAACTATATAAGATTTAGACAGAAAGAATAAATATTACAAGTGTTCTATGAAGGCCTTTATTCTTCAGGACTAATTTTAAAATAAACTTTTCATAGTGTTGGATAGCAAAGCACCAAAACCAGAAGACATTGATGAGGAGGATGATGATGTTCCAGGTAAGTGACATTTCTTTAGCTTTAAGATTTTTAGCAGCCTGTTTATCACATTTAATTCATTGTATAATGAGTTTCAGTTTTTGTTGATGGTAAGCTCATAAATTTAAACTGATTCACGACAATATGGATACATCTAATGAAAAAGAAAAAAAGCCCTCCCATTTAGAACTTAGAATCAGAAATTGTAACACAAAGCTCTGCTACCTGTGTTTATTAAATTAGAATCACTGTGATTATAAATTTGCTTAGTTATTGTTACATTTCTGTGGGAATTATGATTGGCATATAAAAATGCTGTTCACCTTAGTAGTTTGCATAGACTAAAAAAAGACTTACATTTCGTTAGGATTACTGTTTTAAAAACAGATAAATGAGGGGCGCCTGGGTGGCTCAGTCGGTTGAGCATGCAACTCATACCAGCTCAGGTCATGATCCCAGGGTCGTGGGATCGAGCCCTGTGTTGGGCTCCACACTCAGCGTGGAGCCTGCTTGAGATAGAAAAAAAAAAAAAAAGCAGATAAAGGAAGCATTATTAATAAGTGAAATGCCACCAGTTCATTTCTGCCTCTTGTCCTATATGTTTTCAGGCTAATTCTAGTAGCAACAATTTTGTTTTTATTAGGATTAGAAGTTAGGAATTTAATTTACCACTTTTTTTTTTCTTGTATCTTTTACTCATTTCCTTTTTTATTTTTTTCCAGATCTCGTAGAAAATTTTGATGAGGCATCGAAGAATGAAGCTAACTAAAAAATTTTTTCTGGTGTTTGGAAGCTGGCATGGACTAGATTTAACAAATCAGCTATGTGGTTCCAAAGTTTTACAGACATGGAGAACATCAACTGTTACTAGTTCAGTAATATAAATATTTTGTATATTAATAATGCTGTTTGTTCAGCATTTTTCGGTCATTTGATTTTGCATTTTGCACTTCCTCCCAGGATCTATTCTTTTGGTCAAAATACGAAGTATTGGTGCAGTTTGAGGGTGTTTTGGTGTTTGATTCTCAGTTTTTTGTTTTGTTTTTTGTTGGAGTATTTTTGGTGTGTGTATGTGTATGTATGTGTGTGGGTATGTGTGTATACAGTGGAGAGCAAATTGGAAAACAGTTCTATTTATCCTCCTTCTTCCCCCAGTAGAAATAAAACAAATCTTTACATTTGTTACTTTTTATTTTTTTCTAATAATGCAGAGAATTAATGAAAAGTGAGTATCTTGGATTTCAGATCTGAGGAGATTTTACCCTTGGAAGTTTGGTTAATTTGCTTGGTTAACATATTTTTCATACATTTCTCTGGGTTTAAAATGTCTTGAGATATTTTGCCACCAGCTCCATGTTGGCATAGTGGATAGCATATCTTTGGTGTGGTTGCCTTAGATTCACTTACCTAGTCAGACCCAGAAGATTTTCTTCTAGCTTTCTTCCTAAATGCCTTTTTCCCTCTCCCTTTGGTCTCCCAGTGGCCTGGTCAGCCTTTGGTAATGCTCTTCCTCATCTTCTACCTAGCCTGAGAAGGATGTTCTCCATATAGAGTTAAGTGAGTGCCTAATCCCCTCTTTTTGTAAGACATTTTCCCCCCATCTTGAGGAACAACAACTCCATCTTCAACTTTTTATTTCCCCATTAATTTTATAGTTTGGTAGATTTCAAACTGGAATAGCTAGCATGTGCTTGCTACATAATTTTATGCCAGCCTTATCCTGTATACTAGCTGTTCTTAATAGCAGGTGCAAAAATACCTGTTTCCAGCAAGGTTAAAATGAGGAATGTTCTTTTGAGTCAGAACAAGATAGGCCATAGACTCATTCCCCAGCACAAAATGTCATTCTATGAAATGGTACTGGCCCCAGGAGGATTTCTTCAACCACTCTCCTACTATTGGTCTTGAACCTACCTCTGGATTGGATCTTACTGTTGTAGCTGCTCACAGCATCCTCCTGCATGCTTAGAGTAATGCTTTTGGGGGGACACTGGTAAAATACAGTATTTATTTTTTCACCTCCTTTCAGAAGACTTGGAGGTAAGTTGCATTCATTAATTCAAGATTCCCTCTTGCTGTCTGATGATAAAAGCTTGCATTTTGCCATATCAGCATTTGTTATAGCCAATATTTAAGGATAAGATTTAGAAAACCTGTCATTTCCTGGCCTACCAGCAAACTAACTGTGGCTTAACCTTGTAGCATATCAGCTTTTGTTTCAAGCTAGATATCTTTATTTGATATCTAAAGTGCAAGACCAACAACATATCAAGAGATCTATAGACAAGAAGACAAAGCTCTTGTATTTTTTTCATCCAGACACTTCAATTTATTTTATAAATTTGTTCATTTTTCCTGTTCTGTTTTATATAATATATGGACTTAACTACAAAATAAAGTAACAGTAATAAAATAACAAAAGAGGATAATATTTCCTCTTGTGCTTCTCTTATTATTGTCTACAGAATTTCCTTCTTTTGTATTTCCTCTCTACTCCCCACCCCCAGATGAATTTTAGCCTAGTCATTATTTGACATAATGTTTCATCCATTGTTACATCAGTAGCTCTAAATATTCTACATAGTCCAGAATTCTGTTCTTCTGACTGTCCCTAAGGGGTACATTGTGGGGCAGAGAGGGTTATGGATACTTCCAAGTGGTTAAGGACATATAAGAGATAGTATAGCAAATTTTTAAAAACAGAGCTCTCGTCTGGAAGTCAGGAAACTTGGGTCCTAGTCCAGACTGTGCCATTAACTGTGTGACCTCGGGCAGGTGACCTAACTACTCTGAATTTCATCATCAGGAAAGTGAGATGTTTCTAAATCTTAACGTTTTTTCTGCTCCTGCAGTTTGGTGAATCTCATTTCTGAAAATTCTCAAGGAAGTGATTTTATGTTTTCAGAAATGTCTGTTTTTATCAAGATCCATAAAACTATGTATATACACACACACACACATATATATATATATATGAAATGGTATTGGCCATTTTTTGTACTGTGGTACAGTGGTACTGTACATACAATGGTACTGTGTGTATGTATACATATATATATATATATGTATGTATACACATACACACACACACACACACTGCTCTTTTTCCTTTTGATCACATTTTAACTACTGACCCAGAGGAGCTCCAGTCAGTATTTCCTTTTATCCTATTGACAACAACTCTGAATGGCTGGCCTCTCTTGGGTGCAAAGAGCCAATATTCTTTTTTGCTTTCTATTTTCAAACCTTCCCCTTTCCTGGACAAAGCATATTGAGATCCTGACTCAATCCAAAGAAATTGTTCCTGCCTTTAGAGTGAGTAGGCATAGGTAAGAGTATGGATGAAACTTTTGTAAGTAGTGTTCTTGGCATAAATACTAGTTCTATAGTTTTTAATATATGAAGCATAACTAAATGTATACTTTTTACTAAGATCATGTATTTATTGCCGCGATAACTATAGAAGTATTTTCTGGGGAAATTCACCTTAAAATTTTGGGATAATTAAACGTCTGTAGAAATTCATTCATGGTCTTAATTTTTGTGATTAGTCCTTTCCAATCATGTAAAGCTACTCATTTATCTGTCTTGGGAAGCCCAAAGTAAATTGTTGGGACCCATACTTGTTTTATCCTATTTTTCCTATTAAGTAATGGTTTAAGACTACAAGCAAGGAGTGCCTGGGTGGCTCAGTTGGCCAAATGTCTGCCTCTTGTTTTTGGCTTAGGTCATGATCTCGTAGTTCGTGGGTTTGAGCCCAGCCCTATGATGGGCTCTGCACTGGCAGTGCGGAGCCTGCTTGGGACCCTCCCTCTCTCTCTGCCCCTCCCCTGCTTGTGCTCTCGCTCTCCCTCTCTCTCTCTCTCTCTCTCTCTCTCTCAAAATAAATAAACTTAAAAAAATACAACAAGCACTTTGATTTGTTGTCAAGTAACTAGTATTTGTGGGATTCCATTAAACTAATTTTAATATGCTTACCAGGTTCCTGTGAAGACCCATATTGGGGTGTTTTGATTTGTTTCTTTGTTGTAATTCAGTGTTTAACCTAACTATGCAATATACCCATAAATAGTAAGACCTAGTATAGTATAGTATAGTATAGTATAGTATAGTATAGTAAACATAACACGAAATGCACAGGTTTTTAGTTGGAGATCAGTTCCATTACCTACGGTGCTGTAACCTTTACAACATGGCTGCTACAATGCACAACTTCAGGGGCCATGATTCATGTTTGTCTTCCAGGGAGGGCCATTTTCATAGAATACAATGTGAATAGTGCCCCTGTAATAGTGCAATAATGGCCTTGATCTCTGAGCCTGTTTTCTCCTCTGTAAAGTGATGCCTGAAAAATGGCTGAACAAGGTTCCTTAGAACCCCCTAAATGGTTAAGGTGTGTCGTGTCTCAAGCCATGGGAGAAAGGAGCTCATGTTTCTAGGCACAGCAAGGCTCTATTCTACACTGCTACCCTCCCAGTTCAACCTTTTTTGCTCTGTGACATATGAGTTTGCCTGAATTATCATAGCCTCCCTATGGAGTCACTCCCTTCAGTTCACAAACTACCTAAATCTCATATCTGAGCATGTCCCATCCTTACATTTATCTCCAACATGCCATTCTGTTTCAAGCTTCCATTCCTTTACACACATTTTTACTGTAATATTATTTTATTTGTAAATAAATTTTCCCCTTTTTATTTGTAAATTATATTTCCCCCTTCTAGATCATGAACACCCTGATGGCAGATGGGGTGTCATACATCTTTTATCCCCAATATCTAGCATAGTGCCCAACATGTAGTCTACTCATAATAACTAATACGTATTGAATACAGAGTTATTTAACAGTCCAGTGGGACAGATATTCCAGTCTTTATTTTTTACAAAATTTTTTGTAATGTTTATTTTTGAGAGAGAGAGAGATACAGTGCACCAGCAGGGGAGGGGCAGAGAGAGGGGGGACAGAATCTGAAGCAGGCTCCCAGGCTCTGAGCTGTCAGCACAGAGCTCAACGTGGGGCTCAGACCCATGAACCATGAGATCACGACCTGAGCTGAAGTCGGACGTTCAACCAACTGAGTCACCCAGGCACCCCATATTTTAATTTATTTTTTAAGTAAACTACTCCCAACATGGGACTAGAGCACGAATAGTGGGCCATGTGTAAGCTGGGGAAGCTGGCAAGAATGAAGTGGACTTGATAGGTTATATAACCCAAGAGAGAGAGATCAACCTCAGAAAATAGCTTCAACATTCCTGTCCTCATGAAGCCTAGTTACCCTTTTTCTTTCCCTGGGTTGCTTATTTGCCAGTGAGATTTTTTTGTTCTTTAAAAAAAAAAAAAAAAAAAAAAGTCTACAAAAATAGTTAGAACTAATAAATCTGGCAAAGTAACAGGGTACAAGACCAACATACAAAAATCAGTTGTTTTTTTATATACTAACAATGAACAAGCCAAAAAGGAAATTAAGAAAACAACTCCACTTACAATAGCATCAAAAAGAATAATATACTTAGAAACAAACTTCACCAAGGAGGCAAAAGACTGCTACCCTGAAAACTACAAAACTTTGCGAATCAGGGGTGCTTGGGTGACTCAGTGGGTAAGCCTCTGACTCTTGGTTTGAGCTGAGGTCTGCTCTGTTTCAGCTTCCATTCCTTTGTTGTTAAAATATCTCCCTCTGCCACCATTACTATTTGTTTAAGCTAGCTTGAGTGAGTGTTCCCTTTAACTAAATGATCCTAGAGAGAAGACATTTGCATTTCCTCTATAAGAATCTCCTGATCACAGATGAAAAGGAGTGCTTTGAAGAGCTCTCTGGTCACTGGAGGGCGGCAGATATGTTAAATGAAAGAGTTGGAACAGGGGCGCCTGGGTGGCGCAGTCCGTTAAGCGTCCAACTTCAGCTAGGTCCTGATCTCGCGGTCCGTGAGTTCGAGCCCCGCGTCAGGCTCTGGGCTGATGGCTCAGAGCCTGGAGCCTGTTTCCGATTCTGTGTCTCTCTCTCTCTGCCCCTCCCCCGTTCATGCTCTGTCTCTCTCTCTCTGTCCCAAAAAAAATAAATAAGCGTTGAAAAAAAAAAAAAAGAGTTGGAACAGATTAAGATATTTTTAGACCACTGTGGACTGCTGGAAGTAGCACGAAGGTAGTAAGGTGTAATGGTAAAGAGGGTTTGAGGTGCTAG